CCCACTCCATCTCCAGGAACTCGTTCATGAAGCACATGTAGTCCTCCTTGCTGCCGAACCTGGACAGCGGACAGCGTGAGCAGTAGGGTGGACAGTATGGGCAGCAGGGTGGACAGTATGGGCAGCAGGGTGGACAGTATGGGCAGTAGGATGGTCAGCGTGGGCAGTAGGGTGGCCACTGTGGGCAGTATGGTGGCCACTGTGGGCAGCAGGGTGGACAGCGTGAGCAGTTTGGTGGCCACTGTGGGCAGCAGGGTGGCCACTGTGGGCAGTAGGGTGGCCACTGTGGGCAGTAGGGTGGACAGCGTGGGCAGTAGGGTGGACAGCGTGGGCAGTAGGGTGGACAGCGTGGGCAGTAGGGTGGACAGCGTGGGCAGTAGGATGGACAGTGTGGGCAGTAGGATGGACAGCGTGGGCAGTAGGGTGGCCAGTGTGGGCAGCAGGGTGGACAGCGTGAGCAGCAGGGTGGACAGCGTGAGCAGTAGGGTGGACAGCGTGAGCAGCAGGGTGGACAGCATGGGCAGTAGGGTGGACAGCGTGAGCAGTAGGGTGGACAGCGTGGGCAGTAGGATGGACAGCGTGGGCAGTAGGGTGGCCACTGTGGGCAGTAGGGTGGCCACTGTGGGCAGCAGGGTGGCCAGGGTGGACAGTGTGGGCAGCAGGGTGGACAGTATGGGCAGCAGGGTGGCCAGTGTGGGCAGCAGGGTGGACAGCGTGGGCAGCAGGGTGGACAGCGTGGGCAGTAGGATGGACAGTGTGGGCAGCAGGGTGGACAGCGTGGGCAGTAGGGTGGCCACTGTGGGCAGCAGGGTGGCCACTGTGGGCAGCAGGGTGGACAGTGTGGGCAGCAGGGTGGCCAGTGTGGGCAGCAGGGTGGACAGCGTGGGCAGCAGGGTGGCCACTGAGGGCAGCAGGGTGGACAGTGTGGGCAGCAGGGTGGACAGCGTGGGCAGCAGGGTGGCCAGTGTGAGCAGTATGGTGGACAGCGTGAGCAGCAGGGTGGACAGTATGGGCAGCAG